ATTTCCTCCATGCTTCCAAGCAAAGCCAACCATGGTCAAGCAGGACCTTTGACTTATCTTCACATAGGTGGAACTGGTAAAGCCCATGTGACCCCTGAGGAACAGATCCTCAAATGACCTGAAGAGTAAAAATAAATCGGTTTATCTGGACCAACTGTACAGCCTTAAACACCCAAAAGGAAAGTATAACCAAAGATTAAATGGGCCAACATAATTTTATGAGTCCATATGTACAGCTAAAGGCTACATAATAAGCAACAATGCCAGACAAGTGATCTTCTTTTGAGTTGATGAGGCCAGGGTGGCCGAAGGGATTCCCAGATAGTAACCCATCACAGAACTGGGAAAATGAACAGCAGACCCCAATCTTATCCCAAGGAATAATTTGATTGTTGCTAGATGAGGAACAGCTGACCTTCCTAAAACAAAGACCTCTAGATAGGCTGACTAGATTCACCAGATGGACCAGTGGGGATTGGCTGGGGGTTCCAACAACACAGAGGACAGTAGCAGGGATAACAGAGTATAAGGGCTCTAATGGGGGGAGGGAGGCTGTGGGAGGGTGCTATCTGGGAAGTGGGTATATAAAAAAAAATTCTTCAAAGCATAAAAATTTGCTCCTTAATAATTAGTAGAGGGGAAAAACATTACCATTGAAATCTACTTGATGACTTTATATCCATGCTCAGATGCCAAGGAGCTCAGAAAGTAACCGACTGTGGCTAGTAATAATCAGATATATAGAGATTAGAAACACATGTGCATCATAGTGTCAATTGTATTAAAAATGAATTTTTCTGTATGAAAATGTATTTCAATAATGAAATGGAGATCTTTTTTAAAGTTTAAAAACATCATTTAATTTTATGTCTTATAGGGTTTATACTGAGTACAGTATTGTATAACTGTAATAATTCAACTGTAAACCTAAAAATTTACAGCCAATTTTGAAAGAGATGCATCTTAGCTCTGGAAATTGTTATTGAATATGTCAATGCTGTTGTAATGAAATGCTTCTTCTAATTATATGGCTATTAAATAAATAATTTAAAAAAAAAAAATGAAATGCTTCTTCTAATTATATGGCTATTAAATAAATAATTTTTAAAAAAAATGAAACCTGAACTTTGAAATCACTCTGCAAGTGGCCAAGGTGTCTCAGCTGTTAGGGGACAGCGCCCGCACCTGGTTGGTGGTGGTAGGTCAGCTGCTCACAGTCCCAAAGTTGCCTCTCGTTGACAAAACATAGATAATACCACCCAGCACATCATGATGTGTCTGAAACAAGCCGTCTTTGAAGTTTTACCCTCTCGTGCTATTTTCTCAACATAGAGACATATCACAAGAGGAACGAAAAGACTGAGGGAGCCTGAGCAGCCAACCCCCAGCACCAGCAGCACCTCAGTGAGTGGAGCCTCTGTGCACCCTGCCTCTTCCTCTAGGAAACAGAGGTGACAATAGTGAGACTTCACATGGTTGGCAGGCTTGAGTGACATAAGGCAGTGCACGTGACAGAGCAAACACAGACCCAAGCACACCCGAGGGTTGTGATCTTCCTGGGTGCAGAGCCAAGCATTTGGTCAACTCTGGCTGAAGAACTGAGCAGTAAAATCATGAGACTGATTTTTCCACCACCATGGGTTCTAGACCAAGGCCACCAACTGCCACCTCACCGCTCTTGGACACGGGTTAGCACCCCACATATGCCCACGGGGCAGCGTAAAGGAAGCCGCACAGGTTCAGGTGCTGAGGGTCTTCTGGCCATGACAAGTCAGAATGTTCTAGCTACAAAGATCACAAAAGCATAGGACTCTCAAGAAGACCCTTTCCAACTAAGAACTGGGTCCTCCTTTTCCAAGCTCCCTGTTTCACAGTTCAGCTAAGAAGCCACTTCAGAGCTCTTTTATTAGTTACATTTTCCCCTCTCCTCACATATTAAATCATTTTCTGGCAACCTGAAAGAATCCTAGAACAGTGTCTATTAAATTATAGAAACACTTGCTCAGCTCCTATTTTAATGCAGAGACTGGGTCCGGCTCTGGGAAGCCCACGAAAAATGGGAAAAAAATATGACTCACAATTTCAAAATAATAATCTTGCTTTTGGTCAGGTATTCATTCGCCTATTCATTATTAATGAAATTAATGAGGATATTTTATAAATAATTTTACATAGGCTTATCATGAATAATTTCTGTACTTGATATCAAATGAACCAAGTAAGGCATCTGCAAGAAAGTCATGGTCTAGTGGGAACAAAAATCAACAAAACTTTACACTCAGCTTTGTGAGGCGCTGAATCCCGAGAACTAAGGGGCTGGATATTGTCAGGGCAACAGAGCAAGTTCAAAAGGCAGCTGGTTGAGCCTAGAGCCCACTGGGGCTGCCTCCTCACCGGACCCACTGTGCTGCACCACTGTCACATTTAATGACTCTAAGCAACCCAGAGGACTGTATCAAAACCTGCCCTGCTAAAGGTCACAGGAGGGCAGGGAAGTAACTGGAACACCAGTGAAGAGCAGCACATTTGGACTTTAGTCTGTGCTGCCTTTAAAGACACATGTTTTGGGTGGTCTGTTTCTTTGCAGATAGTAGATGATACATCTATATTGTGATACATATATACATGCACACCTGATGTCATCATGTTAATAAACAAAGCACCACCCATCTGCTGAGAATTCTATCCCCACCCTCAAGCCTCACTTCCTTTCTTCCCAGATGCTCTCTACTGGGCAATTTTTTTTGCATGCATATAAAGACTATGATAAGTCTGTTTTTTTCATAATGATCTCAGTGAGAAGCTGGTCTTTATTTTTAGAGCGCACCACAGATTAAAAAGAAAATCTGCCATTCGCATCTTTCATCTGTAGTGAATTTTTCTTTCTATTTTAGTAAAATGTCAGTTGACATCTTTCACATTCTAAGTCGTTAAAAATTAATTATGCCATGCCTAACCGTCTTTCGGACAAAAGTATGTCAAGAACTCAAAGTGAAAGATCCCATCACCCACCCACAAGACACCTACTAAGCATGGATGTGCCCAGTGTTGGATTGTGTGCAGGACCCTGGGGTTAAGGCACAGGAAGCTTCCGAGTCCTCCCAGGAAACCTGATAGAACTGGATGGGTAGGGAGGAAAATGATTGTCAACTGTCATTCCTGTGGTGGGGCAGAGGCCCAAAGCAGGACCATAGTGGTGGAGATTTGGACCACAGAGACGTCCTCCACAGCCAAGCAGCAGTGGGGCTGGAGCCTGAATGAGAAGCAGAGCTAGGCTGATGGAAGGAAGCCACAGTGGGAGAAGCTACAAGTGCATCGCTTAGGGACGAGAGGAAGACGGAGACACGGCAGAGCCAGAGCAGTAAGGCCACAGTGAGCCACGCTGGACATTCAGGTTTTGTCTGACAGCATGCAGTATTGTAGAAGCCGTAAAGTCCTCACAGGACTGGAGAGGCGGCTCAGTGGTGAAGAGCACTTGCTGCTCTTACAGAGATTCAGTTCCCAGCACCCACATGGGGATCAAAATCATCTGTAACTCCAGTTCTAGGGGATCCAATGCCTTCTGACCTCCCTGGGCATTGTACACATGTGGTACATATATGTGCATGCAGGCAAACACTCATATACATAAAATAAAAATAAATAAATCTCTAAAAACCTGTGAAATATATGAATGCTGAAGCTTTGTTAGTAGTTTGTGTGAGAACCCTAAACACAATGGCCCTGAATCCACATCTGTAATTACATCTTAAGGTTCCTGTTAAATGTACCCATCATGGTGTTCCTTCCATACTCCGGAGTCTTCAAAAGTCTGCTTGCTCCAATCCATAGTAACAGGGAATGTGTATACTGGTGATACTCCACAAGGCTGGGTGTCAGTGTGGCAGACCGGGACTCAGCCGAGGCCGGGTGTCAGTGTGGCAGACCGGGACTCAGCCGAGGCCGGGTGTCAGTGTGGCAGACCAGGACTCAGCCTCCGGCTCCCACAGCTCTAGGGAGAATGTGGAAGTTGTTCTTCTGCTCAGTTCAGGGTCTGCTTTTGGCACACCTTTGCTTTATCCCATGAATGAAGTCAATATCAGAGGGAACAAGTAGAGTGTCCAGGTTTCCTTGGGTTTCAAGATATACCCAGGAACAACATGCAAGGCAGATAGTCTGGGGCTAGACCTGAAGCAGGAAAGCAACCAGCATTCAGTGGTGTTGCAAGGAAAGGCTAGACTGAGATCAGAGAAAACGAATGGTTGAAACAAACAACACTGCATCCTCCTGGACACCAGGTGATGACAGAGGATGAAGGCTCAGCAATGCCCCCGAGGTTTTTAGGTTGAGTAAGTGAAGTGGGTACTGATGAGTGATGCCATCAATTGTGAAAGGACACTAGAGAATTTCAGGTGCTCACGGGACATGCTTTCCCATGCATCTAACAGGCAGTTGACATAAGGACCTGGATCTTGGGGTAGAGTATGACACATTTGAAGATTATCACACAACGACGATGACGCAATCAAGTAAGAGGAAGAGATGACAGAATAATCTATAGAAAGGAGAGAGAACTAGGCTGTGAGGATGACGTGGTCACCAGTGCTGAAACAGCAGGTAACGAAAGAGAAGCCGGAGCAGAACTCACAGAAAATTTCATCGAGCTCAGTGGGGAGGAAGGAGTGGAGGGAAGGCAGGGGTTCAGCTGGGAAGGCTGGGTAAAGAAGGGGCTGATCTCTCTGCTTGTAAAGTGGAGAAACTCATGTCAACGACAGTAGACACAAATGTCAAGGGGGTGGGGGGAGATGGAGTTTCCATGAGATGGACGCACAGTTCCTGGAGGGAGACAGGAGGAAGTGGAAAGGCATGTGCCAAAGAGCACGGGCCAGAGAGCTGAAGGCCCCAGAGCCATGGTGTTTACTCTGAGTGGCTTCGGCTCCTAAAGGGTCATGATATACGTGCCGTCCGTCCCTTACCTCCAGGATGTCACTCAAAACCAGAATTTACTCTTGCTCTGTGCTGATGGTTTGGGAACCTTCGATTTGCAGGAGGAAGCCTCCTTCTCATGATCTCTGAAGATGGAAGGGGGAAGCAGAGGCTCATCAGGCACATCACAGTGCAATGTGGATGAGGTGACCATAACTTAAGGAGAAGAGCTGTGACAAGCATGACCAGGGCCCGCACTCTCCACAGAAGACCCGAGGCACCATCGCTTGTCTTCCTCGGCAAGCCTCCAGCCCTCTGCAATGTTATTTCATGTCACAGCAGCACACAGAGCTGGCGTCTCACTCTGTAACCCATGTGACACCCTCAGCCAGGACCGCAAGCCCCCAAGGGCAGGGGCCGTCACACCCTGTCTTTCAGTTCTCTGTGGGCTCTGCCCCATACTTGTCACACACATTTGTGGAATTAAACTGTCATGTTCAAAGCCATCTTTGAGATGGTTGTACATCTGCATTAATAATGTTCCAGGGCCCAAAATGTGGTCAGAATTTGGCTTAGAGATGCCTTCTGAGACATGGTAGAGGACTAGTCATGTGACTTTACATCTATACAATCGTTTTCATCTTAAATGGCACTTTTTCCACTGCAACAGCCTCCAAGATAGACTCACGATTGTCACCCTCTTGGGCGGTCCTTTCCCACGAGGCCGGCTGGCCTGTGTGAGCTATGATGGTGTGTCACTTCCAAGGTTAAGATGAAAAAGGCAGAGCCTTCTGTCTTGGGTGCTTTCCCATCACTCGTTCCATTCTTCTATCCCCCATTTCTGTCTCTCTATTTATCTCTATCTATCTCTGTCTCTCTGGGTCTCTGAGTTTTTCTCTCTCTTGGCTTCTCTGACTCTATCCTTTCGCCTCTCTCTGTCCCCATCTGTATCGCCCACATCACTGGGGAAATCCACTTGATGTGTTTAAAGGACACTTACACAGCCCTGTCAAGATACCCATGTAGTAAGAAACCAAAGCCTTCAGTCCTCCAGCAACCATGTCAGGAACTTGAACATGGACCTCTGGGTACCACTCAGCATCAGGTGATATCACAGCTTCCATCAGTATCAGTGACCTTGTATGGTCCCTGAGCCATAGTTACCCAGTTAAGCTGCTCTTGGCCCAAGAAACTACATGATAAGAAAGGCTCACTGTCTGAAGCTGCTTCATTTGGAGCAGGATGATACTCAGCAATCATAGCAAAGTCCCCAGATAGGTTAATAATCCGATTCATCAGTTTATTTCCTAACAGTTTTTTACTATTCCCAGAATCAGATCCCAGGACTAAAACTTGCTACTGTGGCAGAGATTCAAGGAATGGTCCATGGATTCTGAAGGCAGTTCTGAAAGAAATGTTCAGATGAATGCTTTTAATAGCAGTTGTGGCTATGACAACCGTGTGTTCTCCCAAAGTGGGAAACCTTAAACATTTAGGAAAAAATTAAGCTTGGGGCTGGAGAGATGGCTCAGCAGTTAAGAGCACTGGCTGCTCTTGCAGAGGACCCACAGCACAGCAGCTAACAACCATCCTAACTCATAACTCCAGTTCCAGGGGATCTGATACCCTTTTCTGTCCTCCACAGGCATTGTCTGACATGAGTGCACTTACATACATGCAGGCAAAACACTCACACACAAAATAAAAATAAATAAAATTTTTAAGAATTAAGCTTCGGGGGCTGGAGAGATGACTCAGTGGTTAAGAGCACTGGCTGCTCTTGCAGAGGACCCGAGTTCAATTCCCAGCACCCACATGGCGCCTAACAGCTGTTCATAACTCCAGTTCCAGGGGATCCGATGCCCTCTTCTGACCTCCACGGGCATTGTACTACATAGGTACATTTACACACATGTAGGCAATACATTCATACACATAAAATAAAAATAATAAATAAAATATTTTAAAAATGAAGCTTCCGATTTAAACTCTAGCACTTCAAGCATGAAGATGAGACAGGGACTCACTGACGTGTGACTATCAGCTGTTTATTATAACAGGGCTCTGAACACGAGGCAGATTTCACAATGGTCCTGAAAAACATTGTGGAAAATGCACAGGCCTGGAGGACAGATGGGTTCAAAGTCCTGTCTCTACCCTGAGGCCCAGAGCAAAGTCCCACACTGCAGAAGCTGGCCAGGCCTCAGCTCGCTGACCTGCAAGATGGCTGAGAACACAGTGAGGTCTCACAGGCTGATTGTGAGCACCAAAGGAGGAAGCCCTGGAAAGTGGGTAGTGAGAGGTGTGCACTCTGTGTCTGTATGTCAGGTAACACCAAGTGTTATCAATGCTCATCTCCACAGAAGCAAAGAACAGCAAATACATTACAAGGACACATTACAGTGATACCTACACAAAAGCAGCCTGACTCGTTTTAGGCCGAGAGCAGACCCAAACTACCGAGAACCTGTTCCTTCAGAATTCTTTCAGAACTGTACTCTGGAACAAGGGCTCACTCCTTCTTTTATTGAAACAGAAGTAAAAGTCAGACCTTGATCTGATCAGAGGATTACGTCCTTCCTGACCCCTACTGACTTAGATAAGCACACACGTACACACAGCCATAAACAGATGTTATCAATTTCTGTCACTGTTTTCAATGAGATAAGTGCTGTTTGCACCACTTTGATATGTAAAACACACACACACACACACACACACACACACACACACATTCATATATTATCCTGGATCAAGGACAAGGAAGGTACATGAGGGATTAAAGCCACATGACCAGGCCACAAGAGGAACAGGCTCAGTGAGATTGTCTACATTACAAACAAACAAAGGGAAGATTAACCTTTTGGCTGCAAGGTTAGGTAAAAGTTACCTGTCCAGAGAATGTTCATATTATAAAAGTCATTCCTATAGAACACAGCTGCCTGACAGGGCCAGCCTTAAGACTGAATGGGAAAACTAACCATACAGGGAAGGGACTAAAGTCTTAGTTTCATCCACTTACTGAGATGTTTAGTCAAGTCTGGCAAAAGAAAGAGATAATTAGATGGTGGATTGCTCAGAAAATTCCCCAAGTGGGACAGGAGGAAGTCAATGTTGACTTCCTCGACATTTTGATTTCTGGCAACTTCTACATGAGCTAACACCTCAAACTTAGATTTGCATGATTTACTAAGAATTTATACATTATTATTCTTGTTCATTTAAACTATTTTGAATTTCAGGGTTTGTCCCCTGTACAATAGCTTTAGCATAGAGGGTCTGGTGGCATCTTACTGAAGGAAACAGACCTCTTACCAAGTGATCTGTCGTAGAGCTGTTCACTTCTGGACTGGTGAGGAAGAAAACCTGTAACACATGAACAGTCATAAGACAAGCCCCCTCCATCTTTTTCTAGAAAGTTCTGTGTTTGTAGAATTGATGCCATAAATATGCTTCTTAGGTGGGGCAGCAACACGATGTCAGCAGAGAATTTTGCCAACATCACCACCAACAGGGAAACATGGAAAATGGCTCCGAAGAGGTAGAACACAACCTGAAGCCACATACAATTAGACATTGTACATGGAGGGACAAAGGAGACCCCTCCCTCCCCCAACCAAGACCATGAGATAATGAGTGCCAGGCACGGAGCCCACTTTGACTAGGCAGGTGACGTTGAGTCCTAACTCCTCAAGGGATACATTAATGGGGCCTTACAACTTAGATGGTAATGCAGGGGGAAAAGCATGTTCGAGGATGGGACATTCTTAAGGAGAAAACTGACATTGGCCCTGGCTGTCTACCAAGGTGTTGGGACCATCAGATAAAGGAGACCCCTCCCTCCCCCAACCAAGACCATGAGATAATGAGTGCCAGTCACGGAGCCCACTTTGACTAGGCAGGTGACGTTGAGTCCTGACTCCTCAAGGGATACATTAATGGGACCTTACAACTTAGACGGTTATGCAGGGGGAAAAGCATGTTCGAGGATGGGACATTCTTAAGGAGAAAACTGACATTGGCCCTGGCTGTCTACCAAGGTGTTGGGACCATCAGATGGAATCCTATATGGAAAAGCCCAGCAGACGTAAAGAGATACCTAACTAAACCAATGGCTGCATCATTACCCAGTGAGGTTGAAAGGAGCAAAAGTGAAAACAAATGTTCATTTTCTACAGTTACTTTAATTATTCAAAGGTTATCTGTAGAACCTAGAAATATCTAGTTTTAAATGATTCACAAAGTACTGAAATATGAAATAAATATTCAAGATAACAGATCTCAACTTACCAAGTAGATAATTGTTTCTCTGTCTATAGGATCTTGTCATGGCCCCAAAAATCATCTAAAGAAAGAGGAAATACACTTTAAAAAGATATAAATGCTATCTAGAGGACTCAACTATATAATGCATTTGAATGAAATAAGAACTATATTAGACAACTTTCTATGGCAGCAAAAATGAACATTCAAGAAAGCATAGGG